GTCATTTTTACGTGCCTGTGCTATCTGTGAAATTATAAATGCTCGTTTCTGATGCTGGTTCCAGCGCCCTAATTACGTGAAAAGTTATATATGCAGGGTGTTTTATAACCAAGGGATCAAACTTCTAGGGGTTACTAAGTGTAACAGTAGAAAACATTTGAGTATAGGGACCCATATCCGGAAAAGTGTCACTACGGCACTACGGCCCTAAGACGCGTTAAAATTTAGAAAGACGATGAATTTCCTAAATAGGATTTAGTGCGTTTAATTTTTGCCTTTGTACGTGATATCATCACAACAATTGTTCAAAATGTCTTCCACCAACCTGAATACACCGACTTGAACGTCGCAAATGGTTCCGGCGGACTTGATTAAAAATTTGATACTCGTCTTGAATGATTTCAAATGCTGCTGTAATTCGTCCAATTAAGTCTTGCCCTGTTTCTACTGGAGTTTCGTAAATCAAAGACTTTATATGTTCTCACAGGAAAAAATCTAGCGACGTTAAATCGCGTGACCTAGGAGGCCAACAAACTGCTCCACCTCTGGCAATTCAACGGTGCCTAAACCGCTGGGTCAAATACTCACGTACTTGTCAGCAAAGTGAGTCGGCGCTCCTTCATGCTGAAACCACATTTGCTGTCGAACATTCAATGGAACATTTTCAAGAAGTTCTGGAGGAACTTCCTCCAAGAAACGCCGGTAAATAGGTCCTGTTTACCGTTCCGGTAGAAGGTATGGCCCAATCAAATAATCATCAACAATGCCTGCCCATACGTTGACAGACCAACGTTGCTGATGTTTTCTAGGACAAATTGCATGCGGGATTTTTTTATCCCAAACGGGGCTATTCCTACTATTAAAAATACCGTCTTTTGTGAAAGCGGCTTCATCGGTCCATAAAACATAGCGTAAAAAATTTGGTTGTGCAGCAGTTTGATGAAGAAGCCATTGACAATTAATAGCAATAATTTTTTTGTATCCCGGATGCTGTCGTTCGGGATAACGTTCTTGATACAACCGCGCTGCTGCTCGTGCATTGCAGCTTATTGTTCCGTATGCCAAATGCATATCCGACAATTCTTGATTAGTAGAGTTTTCCATTAGCAACAATTAATTTATAGCACGACTAAGGTGATATGGAATGCAGCTACAAAAAACAATCTCTGTTATCGTTTTTAAAGATAACAACACACAAGCGCCGGATATGGGCCCCTATACTCAAATGTCTTCTACTGTTAGACTGAATAACCCCTACAAGTTTGATCCCATAGTTCTGAAACACGCTGTATATATATATTTGACTTTTAAGAGGCTGTGCGAATGCCACCACTAAAGTAGTGTATAAAATCGACCTCGGGGTATTACGAATCTTGCTTATGCAACAACGGTTCTTGTTAACATAATTCCGATCTTCACTTAACTAGAGTTACGGATCAAAGGTATCTTCATTCCGGTAGAGTATTATTAACTGTGAAATCTGATAATTACTCCTTGATGTAAACCCAATCGCCCTGCATAAACTTTTGACCGTACGTGACAAGATCGGCGGTCGTGTTTATCTAAAAATCAATCAGATACCGTATTTGGGTCAAACGGTCGGGCGAAACGATCCGGCAATGGGATTACTGTAAAGTTTGAGCAAATTGGGACTATTGTGACCTGCACGTGCGACGGGTGGAGCATTGAATTTCAACCGGCTAAGGCATAGCCCGGAACATTTGGCTTACCGTCGATAAGACGCGTACCTCGCATACAAACTACAAGAGTTCTTCGACGCTACGACGGGAATCTGCAGGATGAAAGAATAATATAACCACTTCAACCATAGTTATGGCACAGTGGTGAGCAGAATCGCACAACAGCCCTTTGTGGCATGAAGCAGAGGATTACACAGTCAAGGAAACTCACAGACCTTCCAGGCAGCGAGGTACCGTCGATAAGACGCGTAACTCGCATACGAACTATAAGAGTTCTTCGATGCTCTGGCGGGAATCTGCAGCATGAAAGAATAATAAAACCACTACAACCATAGTTATGGCACAGTGGTGAGCTGAATCGCACAACAGCCCTTTGTTGCATGAAGCAGAGGATTACAGTCGAGCAAATATACAAACCTTCCACTCCGCTGCTCGCACCGAGAACAAAACTAATTTACGATTAAGCCTTCATGGAGTTTAATTTTAAAAGACCTAATGCCCAAAATTTAGATCGGGCATAGCTAAAATACATATACTACAATATAACATTGCTTAGGCCCCTCTGATACCACACATCCTCTTTTACACCGAAACAGCCGCGAAGGCAGATGCCTAAATACCGGGGCGCTGGGAATGCTATGAGGAACCGAAGCTCACCTTATTGACTCGATTTTTGGAGCAAATTGTTCAACAATTTCAGCAGCCAGGTAAAAAGTAGCGGTCGTATCGTACGGAGTTGGGATGGTTAGAATGCGAGGCCACAGTCTGGCAGGTCTGAGAACTCTGAGGAGCAAAGCAGATCGGTGCAAAAGGGTCCCGGACCTGTCCGTTAGAGGAGTGTTATAGATCGGTCGGACAACTTCGAACATCCGTAATGCAGCTGGGGCGGCAGTACCCTAAACATGTGCGAAGTATTCGAGACTAGGTCTTATCTGGGCCTTGTACACAAAAATATTGAACTTGATTCTTATATAATCCCTATAAATGAGATTAAAAATTATAATTTTCGACTATTAGACGTCGATAACCGAATTGGTAATGGAAAATGGTACTTCTCATCCATTTCTTAGCATTTTCCCAGCAGCTGCCTCGATTTATGGGATGTGTCCGTGGCAGATCAAGTCCTCGGTGATCTGGACTCCGAACAATCAAAATGAACGGCTCTTTGGAAGAAATCGCCCAAAGCAGATGAGCACTAAGTAGTGTCTTGTTAGTCACGGTACAGTTCCGTGTTTTCTAAACATTTAACTGGACCAGATTGTTGGATGTGGCTGTATCAAAGCTGTAGATCGCTTGGAACGAATAGGAAAGGAGTTAATTGATATGTAGAGAAACAATGTCAAGTCCCATCCCTGCGGCGCACCCGCCTTGACATTGTGGGATGGAGAGGAGAACTCGTCAATTACGATAAATATCTTGCAGTCAGAGAGGAACTGACCGAGAACTTTCGTGATAACAACAGCAACGGCATGAGCCTCACCAGATTACTGGATGACTTTACTCCACAGTCCAAATTGTATCTACGCTGCGACAGAACAATAAAACACCAGACTATGGATTGAGATAGAGTTGATCAGTGGACCGGTCGTGAAGAATCAAGTCAATACAAAAGTGCGTGAATTGCATAAAGATCATTTTAACTACTACCACTGATATGATTTGATTCTGTTTTTTGTTTTATTATATTTGTAAAAGCTGCACCGTTTTGATACTTGAACACTTTTTGGAGAAAATGGACGTATGCAGAAGATACAATTATTCCTCAGAATTTTATTTTGTTCCATGGAATATACAGGTGACTTCGAAGTTGAGTCATTTATTTTAACAGTGAGTAGATCTGATCAAAAGAAATGTTTTTTCCTTTACCATTTTTCTGGTAAAATTAAAGTAACAAAGTTATAGCCCTTTGGAAGTTTGAGTACCGCCCTGTCTCAATAATAATATTATGTGCTCGTGTTTGGCAACAACGGATATTATCCGCCTTATCGGTTCATCGCATCGGAAACAAAAAAGCGAAAGAATTTGGAACGATGTTTTTACAATTATTTTATTCAGTTGTATACAGTCAGTGTCAGTCGGTAACGCGTGAGTGAATAGTGGTGTCTGTTGCGTGGCTCAAACGAAATCAAAAATGGCACATGTTTACGAAAATGCTGAACTTGTGGACATGATTCTTATTTACGCGGCATCACGGATTTATACGGATCGGTTTCCCAATCGAGTGCAACCAACCCCTCGTGCCTTTGTTAATGTTGTACAAAGGGCTCGTGAATCAGGTGACTTAAGACCTCACAGGGGATGGCATGCCGGTGCTCCAAGACCGCACGATCAAATACAGGTCCGCACTGAAATACTTGTTGGGAGGATACTTTATAAAACAAGGTAACATTTTTTTTATTTTTTTTTATTTTTACACACATATTTTGGTTTATCTTCCTTCTACAATCATTATCTGAAAATTAATAACTCAACTTCAAAGTCACCCTGTATTTGTGTACCTATTAACCTACTCTATACTAAAAGATAACATTTTGTGTACCTATTAACCTACTCTATACTAAAAGATGTATAGGTGTATAGTTTCTGTTGAAAATTATTTGTTTCTTGCTAAGAAGATTTCAAATACCCATTTGTATATTTTGTAATATATCAGAGATATTTTTTTAACATTTTGACTGCCACACCAAAATCACCGGATAGGTTCGGTGCGTCACACTAGTTTTTTTATGAAAATGTATTTGAAATGGTTTGTCAACACACCTTAGATACATCATCTATATAATTTCATTGTATTTTTTGTAATTTGACTAGTGTGCAAAAAATATACACGTGGCCTGGAAGAACATTTCTGTTGTCCGTCGCGTGTATAGGACTGGATACACTCTTCAGACTTGACATTTCTTGTCCATAACAGTAGCGTTGATGTGGTAATAGATGTTAGTTCTGTTCTAAATGTCGCGTTATGCGGTTCATTCATTCCTGACTGGTACACCAGCATAGAATTAGCTGAAAAATTACAAGGCAGGAAAACGTATCTAGTGGGAACACTACGTAAAAATCGTAGACTTATTCAGAAAGAGATACTGTCCACTAAACTGGATAAAGGTGAAATTGCAGGGAGAGAGAAAAACGGCATCATTATTTTCAAATGGAAAGATGAGCCAGATGTGCATAAACTCAACTTCGTTGAAGTCTCATGCAGAACTGAGACCAACAAAAAGCTGGAAGCTATTGTGGCTTATAATAATGCAAAAAGCTTTATCGATGTATCTGACTAGCTGTCATCCTATTCTGCCTCAGACGGAGTATCAAATGGTACAGGCAGGTGGCTGTTGAGTTACTTACTGGAACAAGCATAGTAAACGCCCATTATTTATATAATAAGAATGAAAATGCACAAAAAAGAATAAGTTTAACAGACTTCAAGGAAAAATTATGCTTGAAATTACTTTCAAAAGGTAAACAAAACCTTGATCCCAATGACACACTCGCAGAACATAAATTTATTCATGCAGGAAAAAAGTATATACGTAGTTTGCTTCCAGCGAAATAGAAATAACCACGATGCAATAAGTAAAACAAAACAAGTTACAACTACTACAAAAGTCTATGAACTAAAATTTCTTTGCTTAGAATGTTTTTTTTTGATAAGCACAAAATTGTGCCAAAATAATCATTGAACATTATTTGAAAATATGGTTTATTATCTTATTTTGTCGAACGATTTTGTGTTGTTGGTGCTGCATTTAACTTTGGGTCCATAATATAAATAATGTCATGTATTATCTATTTTGGCTTTTGTTAAAAATGTTCACTATCATATTCTACCGTATTATTAGTTAAAATAAACACTTTTATATTAAAACGGACAATTTATTAGCATTTAAGTTATGGAAAAAAATTATTATATATTAATAGAAAAATAGCGAAGTTTTTTTTTCTCGGACTAAGGTTATTTTTAATTCGGCCCAGGCAAGTTATATCCAATTAGGAATACACGTAAAATGTGCCCCTGTAGAATACACGCTCAACGCCCTTCACTGACTGTGTATGTTTATACAGGGTGTCCGCATAGTTGGGGTTTTTCTTTTCAGAAACAACTACCCTTGTAATAACAAAGGTAATGTGTAGTGAAACGAGGGCGACCAAGTAAAAAAAATAAAGGAAAAAGTACTCACTCTCCAGTTGACGAGAAGGGCTAAGTACGTCTCTGCCCGAAATCATACCGCTCCAACACAAAATGAAATCAGCTGATGCGATACCGAGCAGACACAGAAACCACATTGATTGTCTTACACTTAATGGCACATCTTCTAACAAGGAAGGCAAAATGTTGCGTAAAAAGTCTAGGTATTGCATCCCGTCCAATCGATTTGGAAGAATAAATGGTCCATGCCAGCCCAAACATTCACCGAAAATGTTTGCTGAAAATGTGCCCGAAGGGCATCGTGCGGATTTTCTACTGACCAAACATGAGTGTTGCGAAAGTTATTCGCCCCATTACGCGTGAACGTAGATTCGTCTGTCACCAATATGCACTTCAAAAAGTCCGGATTATTGTCATGTTGATGCAACAACAACTCACAAAACCGCACTCTTGCTGGAAAATCGTCAGGTTGAAGGGCTTGTACACGTTGGACGTGAAACGGATACAGCCCCTCTTCACGCAGCGTTTGCCACACTTTAGTTTTTGATACTTGCACTTCGCTAGCCACGTCTCTAGTGCTTGTTGAGGGATTCTCGTCTACGCGATTACCTCTACACGCGTGACCGTAACCGTCGGTTGAAGGTTGCATACTGACCTGACACACTGACCCCGACCCAGTTCTGTCGTCGGGTTGAGCCAGTGACCTTGTACCAGTCGGTGATGTCGCGGCTACAGTACGGTATTCAGATATTTTTGATGTTGCAGAGCCCTTTATCTCGGTTCCCTTAAGACATTGGTGTATATGGTACTAAGAAAAATTGCTTCTGTTTTCAAGATCTACACGTCGTGTAAAGGAAAACCCCAACTTTGCGGACACCCTGTATATATGCTCAGCCAGTATGTATATTTAGGTATGCACATGGCAGTCAACGTGTTAATAAGAATTTGGTGGATATTTTTTAACTTGTCTTGGGGGCTTTCTATCTGACCTACCTGGCAACCCTGATTGGTGGATACCTACACATTCCGCTAGATAACAAAAATAAGTACATTTTTGCTTCATCAAAGCGAACGTGATAATCAAATCGTCTACAGCCTCCCAAACAACAAGAGGCACTCTCTTCTCCCGTGTGCTTAAATAAACCTCATTATCCTGTATGCATATAATAATCCTATTCATAAGCTTGACACCGTACGGCCGAAATGGACCCGTAATTTAGCTACAGCTGTTGAAAAAAAAACAAAAAAAGCGCCAGGGTAGCGCGTCAACCGTGTGCCGTGCACTCATCAACAACAACCAAAAAAGAAAAAACAAATGCCGGTGCCACAGGGCAGCAAAACGAAAACATTGCATGACCCGAATCGACCGGACAATATTCGCCATGTTAATCAGCACGTGAAGCACCGCTTCCGTCGTGTCATCAGCCACTGAAAAATATACCGGAAATGATGAAACGAACGATACATCAAAGGAAAACAAACAGTAATGGTCATTTTGTACATCTCAAATCGATTTATTAGACTTACGAGGGAAGGGCACGGCCTTGGAAATTTATTTTGAGATGAGACCTCGCATAGCAGTTGTACTCTTAGTGTATATTGTTCTCAGTTCAAGTTATACAAAGTGTCTCGATATTCCGTCGACATAGAAGTACCATGTATTTTTAGACTCAAAATATATCGATTAGGCACTTACGTCTATGCAAAAGTGCTTCGTTTGTCCGTTAGAGGGCGTCAAGAACTCCTTAAAACTCATTTTTTCGGATAATCTGAGAACCGATAGTCCGATTTAAATGAAATTTGAAATATCTGTTTTGCTAGATGTTCTACTATTTCACTTAATTTTACAAAAAACTCTTCGAGGATAGTGAAAACTACCTCCACCCTACATAAATTACAGCAGAATTCTTTGGAAACCTTTCCGAGGACTCCGAACTTTTTTTAATCAACAGATCGAATAGCTTTAGAGAAAAAAAAATTAGTTGCATCAAGAGGTTCCTCCAAGTGTAGTTAGCGAAAATAAAGAAGTATGATATTATGAGGGTGAATCAGATATGAACCGAACTTTTATTTTAGTTATTTTTGTTGGTATAGTAAATACAAGTTTATGTACATCTTATTGTTCTACATAATCTTCTCTCTGATTGATGCATTTTTCCCATCAGATCGGAAGTTTTCTAATTCCCCCATCAAATAATGAGGCTGGTCGTGTCAGTAGCCAATTGTGCACGAACGTTTCCACACCATCGTCGTCGTCAAAGTGGGGACCTCCCAGGTGTTCTTTAAGTGTCTCAAGCATGTGATAGTCACATGGCGAGAAATCGGAGCTGTAAGGCGGGTGTTCAAGTGTTTCCCAATGAATTTTGCGTAATTTTTCTTGGGTCAATTCAGCTGTGCGTGGCCCCGTTGTCATGGAGCAGAATGGCACTTTGCAGCATTAACTGTACGGTGATCGTAAAGAAAATCAACTAGCAATACAGCTATAGAATCCCAAAATACCGTTACAAGAACTTGTCCTGCAGAAAGACTGATCTTGGCTGTTCGCAGTGCTGCCTTCCCAGGCTTTCGACACTCCATGGAAAGATTTTCTGTCAGTCGTATACATGTGTCCTTGAAACTGTCTTATCTTTGAACTGTGCTGTTAATCGTCGCAAATTTTGCGAGGTTTTACGCCCTCCCGCGACAAAAATTTTATGACAATGCGTTGCGCAGCACACGTGTGCATCTCTTGCTCAGACGTCATGCTGCTAACAGCTCATCTCAGTGTTGCCAGGTGGAGAATTTTCGGTAGATTGAATACCGAAGAGTAAATGAAGGCATTTACTTAAAACAATTTCATTTAACTCAAAATATACTCTAAAACAGAAAGACAAAACAAAAATAAACAGTTTATATCTCACTTTAGTTAACTAAAAATAAAATATTCTTAATAAAAAACAGAAAAAGTGTATAAAATAAAAAATGTGTAAGCTATATTGGATAATCATTCAAGTTTTTATCAGTCATATTATATACTAATTTTGCTTTACCAAATAGTCCATCAGCAGGAATGGCAAATTATGCAAAAATGCGCTGAAACGAATTTCTCCTGGAAATAATAAAATAATCTATATAATCTCAAACCTTCTCGAATAGATTAATTTATTTTACCCTCTTTTATATCATTTTCTAATTTCTTTGATGCACCTGCAACAGCAAATGACAACAGTTTTAGCTATTTTGCTATGGTTTGCACTTTTTTATGAAATTGCCCATTTGCGTGTTTTATAAGTGCATCTCTTCCACTTTTGATATTAATATCTTTATCACAGACCATGCATTTCACATAATCGCGCCCTTTATTACTTTTTTAAGCCAGCCTTGGAATCTGGCAATTCTTCCCAGTCTTCCTTATAATGTTAGGCACAGGCATGTGAAAGAAAAGTGACTGCAAGGCAGGCAATACTAATACTGACCGAATTCGGAATTACTAAGTACACGAAAGAATACGCTACTTTGGCTAAACTACTAATTCTGGTGGAGTAGAAGCAAACTCGGAATCAGTCATTTCTTACTTTTTAGTATTAAAAATAACTTCTAAAAAAGCTCTTTTTTTTATATCGAAACAGCCGCGCAGGCAGAAGCCTAAATGCCGAAACACCGCGGCTGCTATGATGATCCCAAAGAAATTTTGTTAATACGATTTTTGAACTGCCTAAGGTTAGTAGAACTGGGAAAATCTTCCTCCCGCAGATTGTTCCACAATCTAGACACCCTCGGGACAAAGGAGCGGTCGTATCGGCCAGTTCTGGATGTACGAAGTTTTGACACGGTTAGGATGGGACGCCGAAGTCAGGCGGGTCTGTCTGGCAGGCACATAGCGCGGCGGCATCATGGAAGAGAGCTCTGAGGAGCAAAGCCCGTTGGTGTAGCGATAGAAAAGAGCTAGATCGCCGACGACCCGCCGGTGCGAAAGAGTCCCGAGACTGTCTGTTAGAGAAGAGTCATCGATAAGTCGGACGCCCTCCTCTGGATAGCATCGAACATGGACAATGTAGTCGGGGCGGCAGCACCCCAAATGTGTGAGCAATACTCGAGGCTAGGCCTTATCTGGGCCTTGTATAGAGTGAGAAGGTCATGCGGAGAAAAGTACTTCTTAGCCCTAAACAAATAGCCTAGCTTTTTCCCAGCAGCTGCAGCTATTAAAGAGATGTGTTCGTGCCAGATCAGGTCCTCGGTGATCTGGACTCCGACCAGCCGAAATGAATGGCTCCTTGGTAGAACTCGGCCGTCCATTGAAACTGTATGAGAGCTAGGACGCTTTTTGTTCGT